GCAAGCAAGCAGGAAGGAGCTCTTCAAAGAGCATTCCTGAGAGAGGACCATGGAGAAGTGTACTAATCATGATACAAATATAGTGTGAGGGCCCATTCTAACTGATCATCCGAACTTTCACCCCTGAGGTGCTAATCCTTACACAGGTGCTAAGCAGCCACCAGGGGTTGGGCTGAAAGTGAAGGGTTGACGATTTCTCTCATTCAAAACTCCAGCCCGATGCTATGGGGCCGTCAAACAAGAATAATTTTTCAAAAAACACATCAGAACGAGGGTGTCCAAACAAGCACTCTCCTTTACAGTAGGTGACTCATTCTACCAACCAATTTGTCACTTGTCTTCTGGAACTGCCCTCAAAACCAGTTTACGTCATTCTACGTTTTTGACAGTCACAACTGAAGTCAGTTTACAATCACTCTGATTTTTTCGATCACACCTAGTTTGGACTCCAAAAGAATAGGGCCGCCTGGGTGTCTCAGTCAGCTAAGCACCTGACTTTGGCTCAGGTCATGATCTCGTGGTTCGTGGGTTCGAGCCCCATGTCAGGCTCTTTGCTGACAGCTCTGAGCCTGGAGCCTGCTTCAGATTTTGTGTCTCCCTCTCTCTCTGCTCCTCCCCCACTTGCGTGCGCGCGCATGCGCGCTCTCTCTCTCTCTGAAATAAACGTTTAAAAAAAAAAAAGATCCAAAATGGACTCCAAAAGAACATCACCAGTTTTTCTCTACTTGATTCCAAGTAACCTATAAAATGAAGCTCCACCCTCAAAGAAAATGTGTCACCGTGAGGATTTTCAAAGGAATGTGCCACAGGCTCTGACTGCAATTCCTAAAGATGAGTTCCAGCGTAAGACGAATGTAGCCCACCAAAAACATACACATGCAAGTTTTGGGGAAACCACTTAGCTAATGCCCAGTTTGTGTTATTTAAAAATCCACACCCCTGTTTTCCTTAATACTCCGAGCATTAGGTAGGACAACTGCTTAGATGTAATTTTCTGATAAACGGACATCCTATGAATTCGCAACTGTGCTACGTATTTTGGGAAAAGTGGACCACTTTCCCAATTGTAGATAAAGCAGGAGGGACTCCCCAGTTTCCTGGTCCCTTAATTTTACTTGCCCACTTGTGAAATATGATCTCTAGCCAGCATCGTCCCCTTTCCCTCTTCCACTCCCCCACGGCTTCCCCACTCCTAAAGAGGATTCCCTTCAACTCCTAGCAAGGGGCCCTCTCTTATCCCTCCACCTTCAAGGTGGGCCCTATACCATGCTTTAAGGACTCCAGAGATAAGTGATGGAATAGGAGAAGGGAGGATGTGACTGAATTTGTTGTGTTTGTGCTCAGAGAAGTGTTCAAGTCACAAAAGGCAGGAGTCCTTCCTGTGTTATTTTGTCTTGAATACTTTCCCAACTGTCATCTTTGGACACTGAAAGACTTCAGCTCCTTCTGACAAGCCACAGAAGTATGGGATTTATGTCCCTCTTCCCTTCATACTTACGACTGAACTGCATGGGCAAGATCACACCCGTCTCGACACACAATCCCATCTTATATTTATAGTTCTCTGCTGTTTCTTTTTCACAACGACAAAGCAGATAGCTTCCTCTTTTCTTAGAAGGCAGCCTCTGTACAAAACTCTATCGTGGTCTCATATACTGTTTGGTTGGTATTTAAGTGACATCCCTACCAGATTCAGGGCTCTTTAAAAGCTGACACAGAGCCCTGCTCACCTCTGTATCCGTAGCACATGGTAGGCACAAAATAAATGTCTGTTGAAGCAAAGAAGTGAATGACAGACTAGGAAGAGATTTCAGAAAGAGAATCAAGGGGACTACTTAGAACTGTGGCACACAACTGTTACATAGCATTTCCTTAGAGTAAAAATGAGAGGTAACAGCGTGTGCCCTAACAGTAAAGATATTTAAATCATCCGATGGTAACAGATGCCATAATTACATGGCAGCTTAGGATAATGGCGCTTATTACGTGAGCAACTTTAGCCAACACACTTAACCTCTTAACCTTTCGAAGTTTTCCCTTCTGTGAAAACAGAAAAGAAAGAAGGAAGGAAAAGAAAAGGTAAGAGAGGTGGTAATAACATCTATCTATTCTACCTAATCACCAAGTTGCAGCAAAGCCCAGATGACATAATGCACAGGATCATTATACAGTGTATTTTGTATGACAGGTTTCAACAAATAAATCTCATCATTAGTGTTACTTTAGATGCATACACTCGAGTAAAACATGTGAATAAAGTTCAGACAACAGAGTTCATTGTCAAACGTGTAATAGATATGGCAGGAACAAGAATATATGTGGATCATGAAGAAAATACCCAGCATGGGAATACCTGTAGAAACTTCCTACCTATTCAATTCATCTCCAGAGAAGCTCATGATTATTTGTAACTTCAACTTTAAGTGATTCTCGAGGAGCTTTCTCTACTAAGTCCACGGTGACCTGCCTGAAGCACCAGACACAGCTCTGGGCTCTGCAACGCGCTCTGCGGCAAACAGCCCACAGAGGCACAAACCTGCATTTCGGCCCAGAGTTGGCGGAGCTATGACCAAAGCCTGCAGCCGAAAATACAGACAAGCACAAAGAAATTTCTTTCACAGTATACAGCTCAGGCTATCACTATAATTAGGACCAACTATGGCCCGAACGTTTAAAAAAAAGAATAAAATCACAGAATAAGTTCCCCCAAACCAGCAACACATGACAAACACACAGTTAAAAGCACATTTTTTTCGAAAGGAAAAAAGA